GCACTTCCACCAGGTTTTGCTCCTCCAGCTGTGGTTCTTGGCCAGCAGGGAAGTGCTGTTGGAATCTTGGTGTCCGTGGATGGGTCGTTACATGTTTGGTGTCTTCTTTTCATTTTCCAGTGCGGTGCTGCCCTGGCAGCTCCCGGTGGTGTCTGTCCACAGCCCGTCTTTGAAGGCAGCTGGGTCTTCCCACGGGCATCCTGAGCAGGGCTGAGCAGCACCAAGCCATGGCAAAGATGGTCACAGATGGAAGGGAATCCTCCCCTGGGAGGGTGGTGAGGCCCTGGCACAGGTTGCTCAGAGAAGTTTGGGCTGCCCCATCCCTGGAAGTGTTCAAGGCCAGGTTGGATGGAGCTCTGAGCAACCTGGTCTAGTGGAGGGTGTCCCTGCCCATGGCAGGGGGGTTGGAACAGGAGGAGCTTTAAGGTCCCTTCCAACCCAAACCGTTCTGTGATTCTATGAAACCCCAATAACCTATCAGAGATCTTTAGGGCTGTTTCAGATCAGAAATTTGGGGGACATCTGCTCTGTCGCCCAACGTCTTCCCCGCTCTGGAGGGATCAGTGAAGCTGAGGGATATTTGTAACCGTGTCCTAGACTCACTCCATCCTTCTGTCTGCCAGGGGTCCAGCCCAGCAGGAGGCTGCCTCATCGCCCTGTCGTGTGACTACAGGATCATGGCAGAGAACCCCAAATTCAGCATCGGCCTGAACGAAGCCCAGCTGGGCATTGTGGCTCCCTTCTGGTAGGCCAGTGCCTCCTGCTTCTAGCGCCACGTGTAGGTCTCTAAAAGGAATTCATCTGCAAGGAGTTAATTAGTCAGTTTAACAGGTCACGGGCGTGTAGTTTGTGTGTCAGTGATCCTGCAGGTAGAGGCAGCTGCAGGAGATGGCACCTCATTTCTGTCCTGTCCTGCAGGTATCTGAAAAGCTTTCAGGTTGTAGGATGTCCTCATGTCCTTAACCAGCAGGGACCTCAGTTCTGACCCTGCAGTCAACTCCAAAACTAGTGCTGGGGGTTCTCACTGGTCAGGCTCGGTCTGGGAATATGCTTTTCTTGGGATACATGGTATGTACCTGCAAAATCCCGTGGTGAGAAGATCTCTGAAAGCATAGGGACAGTAACATCCTGAGACACAGGCCCTTGGTTGCCATAAGAGCATGTAAATGTACTATTGGAAAGGAACTTTCACACCAAGTTTGCCCATGTCACAGCCAGTGGGTACAGCTGGGACCTGTGCATTGAGGGGCAAGTGAGGAGCTCTCATGGAGGGGAGAGTGAACTGTTGGGGTACTGCCAAAAATGGCTCTTCTCACACGGTTTCCTTGGTGTGGCTGAGCCTGCAGCTGCTGTTCAGAGCCCCAAGCCTGGGGCGTGGGACCAGGGTGCTCTCAGCTCCAGTGTCTGGGTGAGCTGCCCCTGGGTGTTTCTTTTCCCTCACCGTGGCTTTCCCTCCCATCTCCTCCAGGTTTAAGGACACGTTTGTGAATGTTGTGGGACACCGGATCGCTGAGCGCTCCCTCCAGCTGGGCTCCCTCCACCCCGCGCCCGAGGCCCTCCAGCTTGGCCTTGTGGACGAACTGGTGCCCGAGGAGAAGCTCCTGGAAAAGGCTTCGGCCGTCATGGCACGGTGGCTGGCTCTTCCCGGTAAACCTCTGGCAGAGGAGGAAGCGATATGACCCAGGAGGGAAGGACGGATGCCAGGGCTGGTACCTGGGAACTGTGTAACAGTTTCCATTGAGAGGGAAGGCTGGGATGGCTGGGAGGTGGGAGAGCTGAGCACAGCGGTCCTGGTAGCCTTGGACACTGCTGGGCACGTGGCTCCAGCTCAGCTCGCCCTGCCAGCCCTCCTGAATCAATCTGGAGGTTCCTGAGGTCCGGATACAAACTGAATGTGTCTGTCAGTGGAGGTGTTAGCCCAGGAAAGCTGCCATGGAGTTGAGGGAACAGGCTGGGTGAGAGCAACTGGGTGGCTGCCAGTCTGCTTTCCTCGTCTGGATCAACTCTTGGCACTCTGCTGAGCTGGGGATGGCAGTGATGGGGGTGTGAGGACAGGCAGACAGCACAGATCCTGTGTGTTTGGGCTGCTCTACAACTGCAGCACATGGTTCCTGGGCTGGGAGAGGGCTCTCTGCCAGCCTGGGCCAGACCTGAGCTGTCCCATCCCAGACCACCTCTGTCCCCTGCTGTCCTGGTGGCAGTGACACCTCACCCCTCAGTGAGCATGTCTCAGTTATGCCCTCCCCAGACTCCCAGGAGGCTCTGCAGACCCTTCCCCTGAATCAGAGCCAGGAGTCTGTGCAGGAGGAGGTGTCTGCAGCACACAGGTGCTGGAGCGATTCAGGGTTCCCAGCGTTTCACCATCACAGCTGAACTAAACTGAGGGTGTGCATAAAACATGTGTTGCACAGATGTGCTGCCACATCACTGCATATGGCTGTGTGTGAGGTGCTTGAGGCCTCGGTCAGCTCCAGCAGCATCCATTTATCCATGTGGAATGGCACAGGCCCAGGGATGAGCCTGAGGGGACAGTGCTGCTGGCTTTTCTTACAGTGTGTTTGGGAGGAGCAGACTGTCTTGCCACAGGTTGAAGGGATTGGTTTGGGGGAGCTTAGAGCCAGAGCAGTTTCAAATAACAGTGAATTTTGTTTGGTTTCTCCTGTCCTGAGGCTGGGGGTGTATGTTGGGACAGGGTATTGGGAAGAGGCTGGGCTCTGGAGGGCACAGAGAGGAGGAAGCGCACTTCATCTGTGCCAGGAGAGAAGTCATTTCCCCAACTGAGCAGTGCAGTCATAATTTATTGTATGAGAATTTATCTAGTTCAGCTTCCAGCCAGTGGAATTTTCCTTCACCTTTCCCTGCTGGTTCAAAGAGCCCTTTGCTGTGGGATCCCTCCCCTTTGCACCTGCACGTGGTGGCAGCGGCTGGGAGCTGGTCAGGGCTGAGGACAGGGTGTGCTCCTCATCCTCACTGTCCTCTCCGCAGACCACGCCCGCCAGCTCACCAAGTCCATGATGAGGAAGGCAGTGCTGGACCGCCTGGTCACTCACCGGGAGGAAGACATTAAATACTTCATCAATTTCATCTCAAAAGAGTCCATCCAGAAGTCACTTCGCATGTACATGGAGATGCTGAAGAAGAAGAAGAGCTGAGGATCCAACCGCCCCGGGGCGGGTCCTGGGAGGTCGAGTCACCCTCCAAAACGCTGCGGTGGCTGTAGGATTTCACAGCAAAGCTGCCTGCAGTGCCAGCAATTGGTGGTGTGCCACTGCTCCCATGGCTGCCCCAGCACTTCCCTTTGTCCTGTAGAGTGCCTGACACCACTGCTGCCTTTCCTGAGAGCGGGGGAAGCCTGCTCAGCCCCCCCGAGGGATGGACAGGGAGAGCGTCTCGGCACGCTGCAGCCTGAGCCCACCGGTCCTTGAATGTCCTCTCTCCTGTCCAACACTTAATCATGCAATGAGGTGTGTCAATAAATCTTCAGCGAGGTAGGAGCTGGATGCTTCGTTCCCCACGGTCACAGTGTCCTGGCTGGTGGCCTGTCCCCAGGCTCTGGTTCGTGAGGGGCTGGGGGAGCTCTGCCCTGAGCTGTGGGGTCTGTGGGCATGGCCGGCTGCCACCCTTCTCCAGACTAGGATCCGGAACAGCCACGCACGGGGCTCGTGGATGGGGCTGCAGGGGATACCTTCACAGGGGTTGGTGGTGGGAGCTGGAGCTGGAATCGTGGTCTGCAGCTGCAGGAGGAGCTCACGCCATGAGCTTCACCTCGACCGGGTAGTGGTCGCTGACTGCCAGGGCCTGGAGGAGGGCGAGAAGGGGGGAAGGTGTGAGTCCCTCACCCCTCACCATGCCAGTGGGGCTGCAGGGCAGTCCATAGCTCTGCCAGAACCTTCTGCCTCCTGGAGGGGATCACAGTGTTCTGAACCCTGAGATGCTTGACACACAGGGCTCCAGTTTTGGCACCTCTCATGGAGAGGCCCAAGTGTGGCCTGTGGTGGGCACTGGCAGGAGGGCACCTGCCCTCTGAGACCCCCATGTCTCACTTGAGGGCTCTGTGCCAGCATTGCCTCTTACTCTGGGGAGTCTTGCCTGCAACTTGCTCATGGAAGAGCATGAAAAACCCCGTATGTCTCTTCTCATCCCCATTGGGACAAATGCCAGATTTGACACAGTGACCCCAAACCCCCACTGCTGTTTCCCCCCTTGGGTTCCTTGTCACCGTGAGCCCCCCCAAACAGATGATGGCAGCCCTGCAGCCTGGGTCAGCTTGGCTTTGGTGCGTGTTAGATCCCTGGGTTTGTGATCCTGGCTCACCTCCTCCTGGTCCAGCTGGAAAGCACGCTGGAAATTGTAGATAGCAGCCGAATTGGACACGATGCTTCTCTTCAGCTTGGCCCCGCACACCACGATCCTGCCGGGGAGATGTGGATGGTGGGTCCAACTCCTGCCCCCACATCAGCCGCTGGTAGGGCAGGGCAGGCAGAGGGTCCCTGGGGTGCTGGGGAGGGGGTGGCAGTGCCGTAGGGGTGGTGCTCACCTGTCGTAGGCACAGTCTGACTTGCCCACGGTGGTGTCGGTGCTGTCTGGGATCAGCCACTTGAAAATGTCACTGGTGCGCAGGCGGATGGACGGCCAGTCGCTGGGCTGGACGTAGGCACAGTCAGCGTTGAAGTCACCCAGGAACATGATGTTCTGCAGTGGGGTAGATGGACAGACCAATGGTCTGGGAATGGGGCTGTCTCTGACACCAGCCCTCCCGTGGGGGTCAGTCCTGGGTGCCTGGGAATCCCTTGTGAGAAGAAGGTCTCCTACCCAACCAGCCCCGCACCAGCTGCACTTGCCTTGGAGCAGGGACCCAATGTGGGTCAAACAGTCTCAGTGCCCACCCCTGGTGCCACCCCCAGTGCTGTGACACTCACGTCAGTCCCCCACTTGTTGATGATGTCCAGGTAGACGTCGTAGAGCGCGTCGATCTCAGTGACGGCATCGTGTGGGGCTGAGTGCAGGGGCACCAGCACGAACTCCCCTACCTCTGCCAGGGGAGAGGAACATCAGCCCCACAGTCACCCAGTGCCACTGCCCAGGACCACTTGTACCCCTGCTTACTGGTGTGGGGCGCTGAGACCCTCAGGATGAACGGCTCCCGGCTGAAGACGTCCTGGGGGTCCTTGTACTGGTAGGTGTCCACCACAGACACGACGTCTGTCCTGTGGGAGCAAAGGGATGGTTACCCTGGGGCTCAGCACGGCCTCTGTATCCCCTCCACGGTGCTGGTGGCCCTGTGGTGCCATGGCACAGGCGGCAGCAACCCCAGCCCTGTTACCTGTAGATGAAGAGATACATCTCCTTGTAGTTCTCCCGTCCCAGGGGGCCACTGATCTCATAGTCATATGGGGACTTGGACACACTGTGGGAATGCAGAGACAGGATGGTGAAGCTGCCACCAGTGACATGGCTGGTACCATCCTGGATTAGCCTCAGCATGTCCAGGAGCCAGTCCTGGTCTACTGTGCCTGTGGGTCACTGTGCCCTGGCTGTGAGGTGACATGGGGTGTGGTTGCTCTGAACCCCCACTGTGTCCCACCCCGGGCTGGCTCCTCGGGCACAGCAGGATGCGGGGTGGCTCCTGTCCCCCCCCCCGCCCCGTTTCTCTGCAGGGACACTCCCCACCTTCCTGCAGCAGGGCTGAATTAGGTCAGTGAGCAGCCTGGGGCCCTGCAGCGCCCGGCGTCACCCTCCCTGCCCCGGCTGCTTTGTGGCCGTGCTGGAGGGGACACCGAAGGGACGAGGACACGGGCTGGGCGGACCTGCTCGGGAGCGCTCCCAGCTTTCAACACAGCGGCAGCAGCTTCCTCCTGGTCCCGAGCCGTGCCCTTTCCCAAAATGGGGTCAGCACCCAGCCAGTGGAGGGGCTGCCCCCCTGCTGTGGCCAGTTTTAGCCCATCCCTCCAGCCCCTATCCCTCCTGGGGTGCCAGAGCTATTCACCTCAGAGTATCACCCACCACTGGGTCCGTCCCAAGGTCCTTCTGCCACTCACAGGGTCTTGGGGTGCAGGGTCTGCCTGCCCCCACCCCCTTCATCCCCCCCCTCGCCTCTGCCCTGTTCTGTTGGATTTTGGAGACGGAGCTTGCCAGAGCTGTAGTTCCTTTCCATCCTGCATGCTCGGATGGGGTTACAGCTTTCAGAAGGGATTTGTAGCACTCCCCCTTCCAGATTATTTACAGCAGCCTTTTTTGCTCAGTGCCCCAGCACTTTTCTCCTATTCCCCTTCCCAAAAACAAACTCTGCCTGTCCTTTTGGCTGTCCTTTTCTTTTTTGAATTTTACTGCTCAGGCAGCTTGGCTTTCCCTGCTCCTCCTGCTGTCCCAGCCCCAGCCCCAGCCCCACTCGTACCTGTTGAGCTGCTCCATGAGCTCGGTGACGGCGCTGAGGTCAGAGTCGCGCACCTCCTGCACCAGCACCACGTCGTAGCGGAGCAGGATCTGCGAGGCCAAGGGGGATGGCGATGGTGAGAGGGAACCTGCTGCCAGCTCAGGGCCACTCTCCCACCCACCCCCTGGCCAGGTACCCTGGCACGGTGCTAAATACACCGTGGGGACCCCGGTGTCCCTCGGTCCCAGGGCAGATGTCCCAGTGGGGGGCTCAGAGGGACCTGTGTCTGATGCCCCACCGTGGTCCCCACCAAGCCTTCATCCACTCAGGGCATCCCCAGCACTGGGATGCCACACGTCCTTGGCCACAGGAGCCACTTTTGGGGCTGTCCCAGTGCACAGCCTGTCCCCACGTTGTGCTGGCTGCACTCACGTTGATGATAATCTCTGCCACCTCCTTGTTGGACATCTTGGTGTCACCGAAGGCCTGGATGTTGAAGGCGCCGACACGCAGGGTGGCAGTGGCTGGGCACAGGAAAGCCACAGCCAGCAGGGACAATGCCAGAGTCACAGTCCCCATCCTGCAGGGAGGGATGCTGAGTCGCAGAGATGAGAGCTGAACTTGGAAAACTCCTTTGGATTCGCGGTGGAAAAATAAAAGGACAAGCAGATCCTTCCTCAGTCCTGCTGTACAACAGCGTGTCATGAGGGGCACTGCCTGGAGCAGCCTGTGGAGCTGGCACAGGCAATCTGACAGCTCGCTGGTCCCAGGGAAGATAAATCCCATCCCACCACAGTGAATCCACCTCTTCCAGCTCCCGGGATCGCCCAGCTCCACTCCCCACTGGAATTTCTCCGTCACCCACCAGCCCCAGCCACCACTGCCGGCACCCCGGGCTGTTCCATGCCCTTTAACTTCACCACAGCCTCCCCTGTCAGGGTTAGGAGCAGCTCCTCAGCCCTGCTCGTCACAGCTCATCCCAATCCCTCCCGGTTCAGAGTTGAAGGTGCTGAGCCTGGATCTGTCCTTACCTTGCCAAGTGCGCAGCACCTCTGCCCTGCCGGCAGCAGGACGGGCAGCTTTATTCCCAGTGGAGTTGCCGGCAAAGCAGGATGAGTCGGACACCCCCGTGGGGGTTTTGGCATGACTTTGGGCTCCTTCCCACATTGGGAAACCAGAAATCCCACAGGACAACAGGGTGGGGCCAGCACAGCCTTCCCTGTGCTGACACAGCTAAGGGTAGCCCTGGAGGCTCGACAGGGCTGGAGCATCCCAGTGGGAATGCGTGGGCACGTGGGACTCGGGGGGCTGCAGCCAACTGGGGTGGCCTCCCAGATCACAGAGCGGGCACGGTGGCCAGGCGGGAGGTGAAGGGCACTGACCTTAACTGGGTGATTCAGACGGTGTAATTAGAGGGAAGAGGAGGAAATGGCCCGCGTTTGGGTCAGGCAGGTGAGCACCGCCAGCCCCAGCTGCGCACCCCTGCAGCAGCCCTGGCAGTCACCCACAACAGCCCCACCGGTGACCCAAAGCAGCCCCAGCTGTTGCCTAAAGCAGCCTCACCGGTGCCCCAAAGCAGCCCAGCAGGAGTGGCACTCCCCGTGCCAGCCCACGGCATCACCGTACCCCGCGGCATCGCCCCGGGGTGATGAGGAGACAGGAGGCTCTGACAGGCAGGGAGCCGGCGGCAGCCCATGCCGGGACTTGCCGGGCTCTCACAGTGTGACACCAGGTTTTGCATCCTCACACCCAGTCTCGGGATGAGTCCGGTGTCCCTCAGTGCTGTGTCGGCACTGAAACCCCGAAAGCCCCCTGGGAAGCACCAAACCCCCTGGGAACTGACTCACATCCTCCGCCTTCCCCCACCCTCACCGTCAGTGCACCGTCAGCCGCCCCGCAGCCAGGCGGGCTCTGTCAGGGTGCGTGGCAAGAGCATCCTGTGCCCTGGAAAGCCTGGAGCCTCCCAGGCTCTTCCTGGTATCTCTGGTTCCCGAGCCCTGAAGACCTCCCTGGCAGGGAACAGGAGACTTGGGCACCGGGGGCTGCTGGGGAGAATGAAGGGACCTTCCCTCCGGAGTTGCAAAGGCTGAAAGAGGCTCATTTTTAATGGAAGCAGAGAGCATCCCACTCCCACAGAACCCCAAAGAGTGGCTCCTTGCAGAGAGAGCAGGCAGCTTGGCTGGTGCTGGTGGCACATGGGCTTCCACAAAGGCTGCAGGTGCACGCTGGGATGTCCAGATAGCCTCCAGCACAGGGATGGGCTCAGCGGGCTTTCAAGGTCACCTCCACAGGGAAATGGTCGCTGACGGCCAAAGCCTGGGTGGGGGAGAGAGCAGAGAGGGCCTGAGCTCATCCAGGCACTGGGACGGCTGGCTGAGACCCCAACACTCCTCTCCAACCCCCAAGTTTAGACCATACCCCAAACTGCTCCATCTGGGGGGTTTGAATCAGTGCAAGACTTGGGGTCAGGCCACCCTGGCGTGTGCCCCGAGGAACAAGGAGCCCACCCACCCTCCCAGGAGGTATCTTGGGGTGGATCCCAGTGTTAGTGGGCCCATGTGCCCTAACCCCTCACTCACATCCTTGCTCTGGAGGTGGAATTTCTTCTCGAAGTTGTTGACGGTGGCGGAGCCGGGATCGATGTCTTGGCGCAGGGCGGTGCCGCAGGCGACGATGCTGCCGGGGCAGCACGGGGGTGTTAGTGCCCGCCAGGCCCTCCGTGCCAGCCCCTTCCCTCCCCGCCAGCACCCACCGGTCGTAGGCACAGTCGGTGTCGGCCACGGTGGTGTCGGCGCTGTCGGGGATGAGCCACTCGCAGGCACGCAGGGAGCGCAGGCGGATGGACGGCCACTGCGAGCTGGTCACGTAGGCGCAGTCGGCGTTGAAGTCACCCAGGAAGAGGATGTCCTGCAGGGCAGCACGTTGTGTCCCTGCCCACAGACCTTATGGGTCAGCAGGAGCTCCCTAAATCCTTAAGGGGTGGCAACAAACCCCCCTGGGGCACTGCAGTGCACCGGGACAAGCCCTCTGTAAGGGCAGCAGAGACATCCAGCAGCTCCCTGCCTGGGGATTGCTGGGGTTGCACCCTCTCTAATGGGCACAAGAGGCCTCCCATGGAACAAGTCCATCCACTTGCCCACCCAGCTGCCCTCAGAGAGGAGCTAAGCTCGCTGAGATCACTTACATTAGTCCCCCACTTGTCGATGACGTCGGTGTAGACGTCGTAGAGTGCGTCAATCTCTTGTGCCGCATTGCTGGGCTCGGAATGCAGGGGCACCAACACGAACTCCTGCAACTCTGCCAGACAGGTAGGTGGCTGTCAGCCTCCACTGCAGCTGCAGCAACTGAAAAGGGAGCAGAAACCCCGGGGACCACCCCAGGCCAAGCCCCAGCTACAGGCTGGGAAAAGCTGCTGCAGGGACAGGGTATTTGTAGTGGTGTGCGTGTCCTCCAGACTGGAATTTCCTGTGAGGAGCTGCATCCATTTGTGCAGGGTTTGCCGCTTGTTTCCTGCCAGCTTTTCCAAGCCACCATGGTTTTGGGAAGGAGATGAAGGTGGGAGAGAGATGGAGGAGTGTATGTGCCCTGAGGAGGTTCCAAGGTGGAGGTGGTGGAGGTGATGGCACAGGATAGGTGATGGAACAAGGTGGGGAATGGTACATGATGGGAGATGGCAGGGATGGGGGATGGCAGGCAGTGGGAGATGGTACATGATGGGAGATGGCACCCAAGAGGAGGAAACAGATGGTGGGATATGGCACAAGATGGGAGGTAGGCACGATGGGAAGCAGCTGGAGGTGTGAAATAGCACACAGCTGAAAAAAACCAACAGTGGGAGGTGACAGACAACGGGATGTGATGGGAATTGACAGGAGATGGCACATGGTAGTAAAGAGCTGGCAGTACCAGCTGTGCTGGGCAGGTATGTAGGACCTCTGGGCACCCAAGGGTGGGAGGTGATCCCACTGCAGTGAGGGACCCCTGTGGAGCCTGGTTGGCAGGTATAGCTCCGGGCTTAGCCCTCTGTGGAGGGGACCCTGTGCCAGGTGTGGGCATCCCCCAACGCCAGCTCTGCTCACGTGTGGTGGGTGAGGAGAACTTGACAATGAAGGGCTCCCTGCTGAAGGTGTCGGTCCCACAGGACTCACAGCCATCGTCGTAGTAGTAACTTTCCACCACAGAGACCATGTCAGACCTGAGGAAGGAGAGCAGGGCAGCCCCCAGCACAGCTCCTGGCACAGACAGGGCCCCTGAAGGTACCCATTACCATCTGGGGGTTGCTGGGGAGGACAGCAGGTGACACAGGGGACACTGGACCTTGGTGACATCCCTTACCTGTAGATGAAGAGGTACTGTTCCTTGTAGCTGGTCCGCCCCAGGGGAATGCTGACCAAAAAGCTGTAGGGCTGCTCAGAAGCACTGGGGGTGAGATGTGGAGAGGATGAGAGGAGCCTCCTGGTGCTCCCCGGCACCCATCAGGCTCTCACCAGCTGAGCCAAGGTGCCTTGGCATGGTGAGATGCCAGCTGGGATCCAGCCCAGCATCCCATCTGCAGTCACCCCCACCCTGTGCCATCGGGGTCACCTGTTGAGCTGGTCCATGAGCTCATCCACGGCACTCAGGTCGGCATCCCGGACCTCCTGCACCAGGATGATGTCGTACTCTGACAGGATCTGTGGAGACAAGCTCAGAGCTGCTCGCCCCTGGCCAGGAGCTGCTCATGGGGCACCCATGGGTGTCTCAGCTGGGCTGCAAAGGCTCCTAGGCTGGCAATGGGAGGCCAGCTGGGCCTCTCTCGCCCTTCCCTGGATCTGCATCAGAGACCCCAAAGACCCTACAGCAGCTGTGCTGGGAGAGCAAGGGATGGATTCCCCCTGACACCCCTCCCCACCTCCCCCCCCCTGCCCCAGGGAGGGGCCTCCTCTGCTGGCGTTCTCTGCCCTGGAAGGACCTTGGGATCACACAGACCCATCTGTCTAAAACCATCATCCCAGCAGCTGCTCCGAGGGAGGAACCCAGGCAGCACCAAGCATTGCCCATCCTGGGCTGGGCATCAGCAAGAGTGGAGATGGTCTGAGGTGGGGGATGGTGGCAGGGGATGAGCAGATGGGTGGGTGAAGGGAGGTTTGGATGGATGCATGGATGCATGGATGCATGCATGCCTACAGAAAGCTGGTGTCCCACTGCCCCAGGGTCAGTGTCCAGGCCTGCTCCTCTCCCCTGCACTCACAGAGACAATGATGTTTGCCACCGTCTTGTTGGACATCTTGGCGTCCCCAAAGGCCTTGATATTGAAGGCGCCGACCTTCAGCGCGGTGGCCACGTGCAGCAGGAGAGCTGCAGCCAGCAAGGACAGCACCAGCTTGGAGGCTGCCATCCTGTGTGCAGAGGGACGGGAAGGGGCTCAGCCCTCCTGGCTGGGAGAGGGTTTTGGCACAGGTGGTGGAGGTGACTGGGTTAATCCCACTGGCCATACTGGTTTCACTGGGAGGCATCTGTTTTCCAGTGAACCACCAGGATCCAGGGACTGTGCACATCCGTCACGTGGAGCCTCGTCCTGCCTGTCCCTCCTGGAGGGAGGCCAGACCACCCAG